CCCCCCCCCCCCACCGCTACCACCGCCTCGATGATGACTCGCGGACGTCGCGATGCTCTTCGTCTGCAGACCGTCCAGATGCGCGGGATGCAGGTGATGTGGGCTTTGCGTTGGGCTTCTGTATTCGTACGCTGACGACTTGTGCTGCGGCGCCACCGATTGGACGTTCATGTAAGGCATTATCTTCGGACTGGACGAGTGTTGCGGTGCCGGTGTCTTCGGTAGCTCCCTACCCTCATTTTTCACAATCACCGAACTCTTGTAATCCGGCAGTAAGGATGGCGGGTTCTGTAGTACCTCTCTGCCATGATGGTCCCTTTCGAGGCCGCCGGCCAATCCGCTCTTGCTCGATAGCGACTTGTGCGGTCCTATCTCGTTCTTTAACTTGAGATCATGCAGATATGACGTGCAAGATGGCTGTGGCTGATACGTCGACGAGTAGTTGAACAAGTTTACGTTCGGTTCGGCTTTCGGTAACGAGCTGTGCGAAACCACCGACGGTTTCTCGTGCAGGCCGGCAACCTGCAACGACGACTTTGACGTCCGCGAGTGCGCCGGTGGTGGCGGGTACTCTACTTTTCCGGATACGTTCAAAGGTCGAACCTAAAACATCGTGATACGTTTATAAAATGATCCATCGCTATAAATTGCTCTTAACATAATTTTCTATTTCTAATAAAATATAATAATTAATAAAGGTACTGAGATACGTAATATACAAAAACTCGAATTTCTTATATTTCTCGCATTTAACAAAACTCGCACGAAAGGAATAATTTTACTCAAGTAAAAATTTAGCTAGATACAGATCCGAAAATAATTTTGTCGTAGCATCAAAATAATTATGGAGGACATTCAAAGTGGTTGCTAGAATGTCACAATTTTTTACAGAATTCCTCATCATGCTCGAGTTTCCTACATAATTATTTTAATGGCTATATATGTATCTAGCTAAATTTTTACTTCCAGCTAAATCGTTCCTTTTGTGTGGGTCCAAATATTTTTCAGATGTAAGGAATTGAATCTTCCCCTCACCCATTTAAAGGCGTGGAAATCGCGCGGAATTGCGTTGTCATGTACCTGTTGAACCGACGGTGCCGCGGCGGCCGCCGCGTAGTAGGCAGCCCTTTGCTGCGCGGCGTGATCCCTGGCTTCGGCCTGCCGTTGATGCCTTTCAGCCACCGCCAGGTGTTCCCGTTGCTCCCGCTCGCGGAAGTCCCGCTCCCGCTCCCGCTCGCGTTCCCGCGCCTCCCGTTCCTCACGTTGCTGCTGCTGCGCGACGGCGGCGGGATGCGCGGCGGCGGCGGTGGCTGTGGCGGATCCGCCCGGTGGACCGCTGGGATGACCGTGGTGGCTGGCGGGAGGATGAGCCGTCAACGCCCCGTGCGTCCTCGGCGGCGGTACCTGCATGAAAGCGCTCCATCCAGCCATCGAGGCCGACTGCATGTTCCTCTGCGGGACATAAGATACCTACTTCAATCAATACTGCCAATCATTTTCGTCGCTTATCGCTTAACGATTCATCGGAGATACGATTTGCGACGAACGTTTCTTCATATCTCGCATTTTATCTTAATGATACGGTACTCTACAAGATTACTTTCCGAAAATTTGAAAGGCATTGCGCGAGCTTGATCGTAAAAAAAATGATAATATTATTCTTCGACTATCAACGATGTTCTTATTTCGATTTTTTTTTTTTTTTTTGATAAATTTAATGTCAGTTATTAGAAAATTTAAAGCGCGGATTAAGGGATCACGATTTTACAACTGTGACTTCTTTCTGTATCATAAATATGAGATAAAATGTAATATTTGCGTGGATTATGTTTGTCATATACGTATACATGTGCATGTTGTGTGTGTATCAAAGCTATTAGATCTATAATTTATTTTGAAGTGGAACGCGCAGAATTAGCATGGTTGCGATGTTCAATAAAATTTAAAATACAGTGATTCACAATGTTTAAAAAAAAAATTTCTGAATATAAATTTTATATTTCGCACGTCCTCCATATACGTTCCAAAGTCAATGTTTATCGCTATATTCTGTTGTTATGCAGATATCGCAGTCCAGACGGCGCGTCATTCAATTGTCGGGCAAATAACGAGCAAACACAGACGGTGCGCAGCGGTGTCATGCGCATATGCAATAATTATTGTCTATTACGTACGTCGAGAAATACACGGCACGGTAAAAAAAGCCGTCACGAATACGATTTTAGTGTCGTTCCGACGATGCGATCGCCGATTCGATTAGCGGTAACTCACACACTTGCGCGATCTCTCCGAGATAAAAATGTGCCATTCACGTGATTCTTCTAAATTCTGCATCAACGAAAGAGTTCTCATAATCGTGTGAAGATACGCGATAAATGTAAAACGCTCATTATAACTTACCAGGAATTTTCCGCGTGTGTCATCGATTCACGCGAGTAAATTTTTTCTTGCCTCGATTCGCATCATATTAACATTGTGCATGATAACATAAACCGAGAGTTTATGCTGCTATTAAAATAGTGCCGCGACATCTTTTATATACATATGTAAATGTACAAAATGGGGCATTAAAAATGTTACAACATATTATCTTTAAAAATATGCGTCGCGAATCAAAAATATGTTCAGATAAAATGATATAATTTTAAGAGGAATAAATAATAAATATCTTTAAAAAAAATCGATTTTTTATAGTCACATAAAAGTCGCCTTTTTTTCACTGTAATGATATTATTTTTACATAATATCATTCCTTTAATTATTTTGTATACAAAAGTATTAAGGTAGAAAAATTAATACTTTAGGAGATATATATATTTTATTCTGGCATATTTTAACAAAGTATAAAATATTTTGTAAATTAATTTTTTTACAAACATACCTTAATATTTTTATGTACAAAATAATAAAATAAATCAAATGGTTTAAAGAAAACACAGTTGCTTTTACATGGTACATATAAGTTACATAACTTTGTAACACTTCAAATGCCTTACTTTGTACACACACACACACACACACACACACACACACACACACACACACACACACACACACACACACACACACACACATATATATATATATATATATACGCATATAAAAGTTGTTCAATTAACAATAAAAAATGCAATTCTGTAATTCTTAAAAACTTGATATGCAAACGCGATTCCATGGTGGCGAATGGAATTTATTCATTTGCGAAATTCGAATGCTGAGTTCCTGACAGGTATCGAGTTACGTGAGAGGTTTGTGTGGAAAACACAAGAGGTTTAGAGAAGCGAAGTCCGAGAAAAGTGAATTGGAACGATGTCCAGTACTATCAGTAAGAAAGAAAGGCGCGAGATTCGTGTAATTAACGTCGTGCGAGATAGCGTCTGGAATCTGGATCGACTGACTTCGTTAATGTCATCGGCATGGCGCCGTAAGAGGCCTCGAAAATAACTTGTCGCGAAGTTATCGGACGAACTTCGACGTGTAACTAAGTAATTTCCCCGGGAGGATCAAACAAACAGCTTCCGCTCGTTGCTAACGTTCGTCGATTTAACTCCGCGAGAAACTCGTTTCTGGAACGACTGCAAGGTTGTAAATTAATGTAATCAAGTAACCGGTAAGTAACGAAGCAAAAGAGGACGGTAAATATTGTTTTCCTGTTTTCCCCGAGATTCGAAATCTCGGTAAATACGTCAGTCACCGAGTTGCAGGCAATACCTTCCGAATTCGTGTTGCAATTTCTCTTCAAGAGTTGATAATTTGCTAAACTTATCAGCTTTACTTTTCCGATTGTAAATAAAGTTAAAGATTATTTCAAACGCACAAATTCACTTGCAATTAAAGTACATCCGGGAAGATTCTTAAAAATTTATTCATAAAAGGATTAAAGAAATTTATTATTCTATCTTTTGATTACTAAATAAATAAGAAGCAGCTCAATCCTTAAAAAAATTTTCCAACTCAAAAGATTCCCATGTTAATTTACAAACGCTTTTATAGTTACACTAACTAAAAAAATTACTAAATAAGAGATATTCTTTTTAATAGTACCAAGTAAACAATTACAGTAAATATTTATTCAATAAAAAAAAATAGTTAAATTAACGATCTTATTTATTTAGTTAAATGTTTTTATTTTATTTATTTTTGTTCATATTAAATAAATATATGTTCACGTTTAGTAAATATTTATTGAGAATTATTCAAACTAATATTTATTAATATTTTTTTCCAGTGTTAGTTTATTTTAATAAAAACATTGCAAAATATAGTAATTAATAGGTTTCCTTCAATACAGGGTAGGTATTTTTAGGTATTTTTTTGTCAAATCGAGGAGAGATCAAGGCCGCATCAAGTACTCTTTCATGAGAAGAAAGACATCGCGTCCTTGCAGAACGGTAGAATTTTACGAGGTGGAGTGCAGGAGCTTCGCGAAGTCGCGAATCTAATTATAGGCCTGCGAGAAGGTTTACTATGCTAATCGAGAGACGCGAAGTAAATGTCAACCCACATTCTGTTTACCCTCGATGCTCGCGTCATCGCTTCGCGGCGCGCGTTTTATGCGCGACACGTCGCGTCCTTACAAAAAGAAGATGTAACGAGGGCGACGTGACACAAAAGCCAGCAAAGTCCTCGTTAAAAGTGCCTCGGCAAACGTAACGTGCGCGCCAACATCACGCCACATCTAATCGCGCGCGGATACCAAATCGCGTTGCATCACCCGCTGCTTATCTATAAGCCGCTTATACAGCCGCTTATCTAAGTAAAGAGAGAAAGAGAAAAAAAAAATAGAGGCACACGCACGGAGCTTTGCACTCGAGCATAATAGAAGTTGTTTACATTCCTTGTCATCGGCGCGCGCGAATGAATTATAATCACGCAACTCCCATGCGAAACGTTACGTCTTCTTACGACACTATTATAAATATTCCATCCCGTATCCCCTCCCGCTGTTCACTGGCGAACTCGTGCGCGTACATCGAATGACAATCCTGATCGTTTGGTGTGTGAACGACAGGGATATACAATTTCACTTGTCTCGTTATCCGACGCTTCAAGTAGAACGCGAGTAAACGCACGACGACGTGCTTCGGTATTATACTTGAGCATGCCACCGGGTATGCGGGTCGTGGCGTGATGTAGGACGACTGCGAGCGAGGAACGGAGACGGATTATGACCGATTGCACGTAATAAAAGCGACATGCCATTCAGAGTCAATCAAATGCCGCTCGCCATTGGTTCGTTGACTTTCTCTCCTGTTGAACTCTCAACCCGCGCCGATTAACTTCTCACGCGCGCTTTTTACGCCGTCTCGTTCGCACCGCTCGAATATATTATACATGCCGTTTACTATACGAAGAGATTTTCGCTGCCTCTCTTCATGCAAAGGAAATATATCATCAGGGAGGGGGAGAGGAGGTTTAGCAATCGCCGCGAGTGCGGGACACGGCGAAGTCACGTTCACGGTGCGAATGGTAATGTAATCCAGAATAGAAATTGCCACGGCAATTTGTAGTTGGTTTCATGGGACACTCGCGTTCATCGTACGCGGAATACACTGTTGAAAACTTTCTAATCATCATCCTGGATTTATATTTCGCTTCTATATAAACTGCGAAAAGCTATTGTACGAAAATAAATGTGGATATTAAAATAAAGATAATACATTTTATTTTATAAAAAATAAAATGTGACAACGTCTATCGTCACCTAATATACCGTATTTATCATAATATTGTAATAAATATCAAGAGATTTTTCGTTATAATATATAAATAATATGTGAGTTATCGAGAGATGTGTGGATAATTTATTTAAAATGAATAATAAGATAATATATCATTCAAAAATAATAGAGAGAAATATTTCATATTCATATTGAAAATGGTCCTTAAGTTCTTGTAAAAAAACGTTGCGTTGAATTTTAAATATATTCAAGTGTGTATTTAACATAATTACGTTATTTAAATAGTTGTGTAAACGAATATTAAACATTTCTTAGTGTAAAAATAACACAATTTATGAGCAAATGATTGAGATGAATAACGTAAAAATAATATGTCTTAAAATACAAATTCTAAGATAAATAAATAAAATATGTGTTAATCTATTATAACATATCGTAAATGTTAGTTTTATTGAAAAAAATACGCCTCCACTTTTTAACTTATCTTCTTGTGTTTATTCTTTTAAATAATATTTGTGTCATCTTCTAATATTAGGTCATTTAAAAAATATCCGCGGCTTTTTGTTCAATTTTTGAATGAAAAAACCGCGGATACTTTTTAAATGACCCAATATATTCATCTTACATAAAATTAACACATAAATTTGAATGGAATACATGAAATGTGTTAAATTTTACACAAAATTTTCCCACAGTGTAAATATTATATATATGTAACAGGTATTCACACATAATATTCGCAAGCCACTCATCAAGCAATGCCATAGATTTCTTCCTACCTTCCTTTAT